TAATTTGCTTTTCTTTGTACTTTACAGATTTGTTCAAATGTGTTAGTTCAATAAATCAAAACCAGCTTATGCATTAAGCAGAACCTACTCACACCATTTATTATGGGAATGTCAGTTATTTCATCAGGAAGATATATAGTTATCTCACCCACGATTCCTGCATCTTCAGACTCGTTTATGTCAAAACCAGCTAAAGAATCATTCACTTTTATACTGCTAATACCTGAATAATTAAAATTTTATAAGGAATATATAAGTTATTTTATTTGATCATTACAGATGGTTAAAAATACCTACGGCATTGCCGACAATGTAATCTTATAATGTCAATATCAAATCTAAGTGGTTTAAGACTAATCTCTGTATAACCCTATATAATAGGAGATTAAGTTTAATGATAACATTTCTAAAAAAATGAAATTTATGAATACATACCTTGACTGTTTGATTTAACATATCAATCTGAACGTCAACTTTTTGATGCTATAAGGTACATGGTAGAAAACAGATCAAAAGAGTATTATATTTCAAACTTTCAAATTGTTAAGTAACAACTATATGTAAAAAAGGTTTAAGAGGTTTCTGCACTTTCGTCAAAATATGAGCAGAAAAACAACACCGATCTAGTAAATCAGTGGATTTAAACGTATTTCAATTTGTTGATTTATCTCATGGGTATTGAAGTAACCACAATACGTTGGAGATAAATTTGAATTCGCCTCCGTTGAAGAAATGTATAGTGCAGACTTTAAACCTTCTAAGGCTGTTGTACTTACCGAGTACACATAGCCACGCTCTGCTGTCTCGTCATCGACATATACCTTGAGTCGTGTATAGAGATCAGTTTTTTTTGCTTCCACCATTGTAGACTGTCATATAAACGAACTTTAAATCCGAAAGAATTTGTATTTACGTATTAATTATGAATTCAAAATCCTTGCGTCACGTGATACAGGGATTGTTTTACAAAATTTAGTTTATTCGAAAAATAGTTTTTTTTTTCGAAACGCGTTTACAAAATCTTTGGTATTTGAGGTTCTTTTGACACGGAATCATTTAACTGCCGATTGTAATAACGGATCGATATAACACTACTCGAAAATCGACATACATATATACAGTACATATACAGTACATAGACTTCGACCCTATACATAAAATGTATATGTGCTACTGGAATGACCATAATTTCACGAGTTATCATTACTCTCTAAGCTACCCACCCATCGAGAGCTAAACAATTCCCCACTACGATCCGGCAGGTAATCAGTATAACTGGCATTAAACTCTCCGAAAGGCCTCAGGCCTTTCCCCATTATTGTCACACATGTATTTAAAAACGTTTCGAATATTTCTTGCTGCATTTACATCCCGATTCCACAAAGTTAAACAGGTTTTTTGACAAACTTTTAATGCATAAGCTGGTTTTGATTTATTGAACTAACACATTTGAACAAATCTGTAAAGTACAAAGAAAAGCAAATTA